TCAAACCCATAATTATGTTTTAAGAATACACTTCATTTCAGTCCTTTGTGACTCTTCAGACTGACATGAGGTCCTGGAGGCTGCTACAACTGCTTGAAGTACAGTTTAGAAAAGAGGCGTTTTAGAAATATCGTAAGTCTGTGAAGCCCTGCAGCTCAGTGGCTTCCATTTTAAATGTGCTTAATTTTGTAAATACAAAAAAAAGCTTCTGTTGATTTGCCAGGGCTGCAGACCTGCTCTGGAAGTCGAGATGTTCTTATTTGTCCCTTCCCAGGAGGTCCATCCTCATTAGGGAGAAAAATCCAGCAGGCCAGGTGCTGTGTTGAGTTACACCCAAATGTAGTTTTCCTGCCTTCAGTTGGGTTGTACAGGTGTGACCATGAACATGAGTAATGGGATTTAGTTCTGGGATAACTCAGTGAAAGATGGCTTGTGACACTCTGATCTGTCTGACCAAATGCCCCTTCTAGCTTTGACATCTAGGAATAATTTGAAGATGGCAAGATTGCACAAATGGAATAATATTGTTGGTTATACATAAAGCAGAAGAGGACTTCAGCTTGGGCTCTTACTGGATCTTCAGGGTTGGTAACAATAAAATCTTCATTTCTTCCCCATGCTCAAGTACACACATGTGACTAAATGTAAAAGAAGCAGCTGAACTGAGTAAGGTGGCATGTTTCTATAATGAGTCTTCAGAGTAGACCTCACATTTTTAATTTGCTTGATTTGTGGCCTCTTTCTAAGGGAGGCTTCACTTTGTTAATCACTGATTTTTGTTGTTTGTTTGTTTTTCCCCCTTCTTATTAAAGAAGTGATTAAAGGGATTGCCTCATTGTTTGTATTAAATGCCAATGTAAAAATGTATTTAATTTTGTTAGGTCTCCAGTCTGTCTCTCAGTTCCGTGGTTCCCCTCCATTTAATTATTTTATCTGAGTCCTAACTGATATATTTTCCAGTTTCTCTGTGATATTTGGGGCAGGATTTTGACTTTTTTTAAGAGTTGTCCCTCTCTCCATTCACTGGGGAGTAACATGAAGTACTTTTCTGTTTAACTCTGAGCATTTTATTCTACTTCTTCATTCATATAACTGCACAGAGATCTACAAGGCTAGGTACAGACGTTCAAAAAGCCTGAGACAACATCGATCTAAGTTGCGCAGTTTTCTGTAAGTGGTGGAGTTTAGATTGGTAGCAGACAGGACACACATTGGCCCTGTGGTGGTGAGGGGGGAAATCTTGGGGCACTTCTACGTGAGCACGGAGGCTACTCCGACGTGCTGTAAATCCAGTGCATTGAAGTAGACTCAGTTAGTCACATCTCCTGGAGTGTGGCAATTGCCGTGCTCCAGCAGCCTCCTGCGTCCCTTGTATCAGCGTCCCCATGTTTAAAAATGTCAGCTGGGGCACTTGAACTAAAGCTTATCAATGCTTTAGCTGACATTTTTAGGCATGGGGGCAGTGGTACGCAAGATGGGGCAGTGCTTTTTTATTTAATTTTAATTAAAACGTTGCCCCCTCTACCCCCAGAAAGTGCCCTTAGACTGGGTTCTGCCATTTTTAAACCAGTCAACGTGTGCCACACTTCTGTTCTGTTATGGGTATAGACTGGTTTCTGGTTACTCATACTGGTAAAGATGTATTGCCTGTACCTGGCCTTTATCACCTGTGCGCCTAATGCACTGCAGAAAGAAATTAGCCTAGATGCTGTCAGATACTTCTGAAGGAGCTGTTGTTTGTGTGTATATTCACACATGCCAGCATCTTGCTTTTGCAGTATAATGAAAGGAAAAAACTCCATACGCTGACCTACTAACAGCAGCTCGGAGCAGTATCCAGCAGAGAGATTAATTGCTAGGAGAATGTTCTACCACAGCGCGGTTCTGCTAAAACACTTTCAGGAATGATCTTCTGGGGTTTTTATGTTGGCATTAGCCAGTATTTAAATAGAACGAATCTTTTGCAGGAAGTAGCTTTCTTCTTCCAGGGATTTTCAGTTTGCTATTACCACTCTTCCCTTCCCTTTTAACATTTTCCTTCTGAACTTTTCTCCTGGTGTTTATTGCTGGAGGAGTTGTTCTTTTTCTCAGCATGATGTTGATTTGTGCAGTGTTTGGTGTTTAATCAGTTCGCCTCCTCCACCTGCCTCCAATATGAGCTCTGGTCTTGTGTATCATGCAATGCTGAGTCTTTTCAGCATTTGTAAGCTCTGACACTCCCTGCTGTAAAAAGTGGTTGTATATGATAGCGGTTCCTAAACCCTGATCTGCAGCTCACCAGTGAAATCCATTGTGTGTTCCTCCGACTGAAATGTTTTGAGATTCATGCCCTGTTGTAGCTGTATAATGTGGCAAGCATTGGAAGATCTTCCTCCAGGAGGTGGTTTGCAACATTAAAGATGGTTAACCAGTGGTTTTATGACATGAGAAACTGCTCGTCCTAACTATTGACAGAAGCATCATTCAGCTAGTTGCTGTTGCAGCAGTAACAGTCATTTCTGCCATAGCAGGTTCTGTAATCTGACTTGATTTGTAATATACTAAGTTCTTTTTTAATTGCTCTGGGGTCTCGTTGTATCCTTGGGCATCTTAGTTGAAATTTCCCTTACTTGAAATGAACCATCTTAGTTCACTCCATGGGTATTTCCATTCCAAAGTGTTTATCTGCTAGTCCATGGTCTGTGTGTGTATATATGTATATGTTTCTCTCCTTCACAACATGATTCGTGGTAGCCAAGAATCATTTCATCCCACTTTTAATCATTCCAGTCTGTGCCAGATACTAAATTATATGGCTTCTTTCCATGAAGTACACATTCCTGCATGTTCACCATTTGGCTTTCAGACTCTACACCAAAGTTAGTAGTAAAGATACAAGCGGCATCATTATCACTTGCCTGCTTTCTGTATCAGGTGAGCCTTACTGTTGGAAATCCCTACTTGGTTTCTTTGTCCTAACTTGCAGCCACCTACGGCTTTGGAGGTTTGACTCTGGGGCCTATCAGGATTGCATGGTTTTCTTCCAGTTCTTGGCTTTACGGGGCTTATTTAGATGTATGACCAGGTACCTAGTTTACTTGTGGGGAGAAGCCCATTGCAGTCCTCTTCTTGGTGCTTGATTGTGCCTGTTTCATTTTCAAAGGGTGTCTGGGTGATGCTAAGGTGCTCTCATCGTTCTCTTTCCTGGGGCTTAATGAAATCGACTTTCTCTTTCCATATCCAGACTCTGGGAATCATTCATGGGATGATTTCCTTCAGGGAAAATGAGTCTATTTTTTCTATTTGTGAAGAAAAAGTAAAGACTAGCACTTGGGAATAGGAGGCTTTCACATTCAGAAGCTGTTGGAATGGAGTATGGGGCTGATTTGGGAATATGTGAGCATGGAATATGGGGTTGGCTTGCTTTTCCTCCTGACTTGCTTCCATCAAATTGTTCAAATTCTGCTTTCAGACAGCTGATCATATCAGACGAGTCTGCTGAAATGGAGGCAGTAGCTGTGGAGAGGCTTAACTTGAAACAGCTTTACAGGGGAGGGGATGTGGTCACTCAGGTGTGCACAGCAGTTCATTCAGCACA